TGTCCGCATCCTCCACATATGCTATTTGAGCACAGCCCACACCAATGACAATCAGAAACAATGCACAAAATAGCAAAAAATGCAATTGGAACATTTTTGCTTGTTTTGATTAGTTTCGACTCGATATGCAAATTAAAACGCCTCTCAGACGGTTGCTTTGGCGCGCGCAGCTGGAATCTCGTTTTGGTCAAAGGGTTTGCTGGCGATTTTACGTCCAGTCCCCACAGCGAAATACTTAAAACTGAGCTATGGCTGGGGAGCGCTGAGCAGCAGCTTTAAGCTGAGCTACAAGCATGTGTTAGTATGTACTTTGCATGTTAAAGATCATGTTAAAGGGTCGGTGTACATGGTGACAAATGTTAATGCTCTGCTAGAGCTGTCAGCCTACTATAAGCAACTATGCAGTGCAAGCATAAACTTTATTAATATGTTTAAAAAAATTATAAAATCCACCACTAAACTGTTTTGAATTATTCGCTTAAAATTTGGAATATTTTCTTAAATCACATCACCAATTATGCGGCGCCTTTAACATAAAAAAAAATTTTTAATCGCACACAGTGGGACACTTGGCAACCCTGTCTGAGAACCTTCAGCTGTGTCTTTGTATACATATCAATAACACAGAAAACAGCACGAAAATCATAAAATTTTAACTCTTCTAAACGAAAAAAAAAAATACACAATCTAAACTGAACTTTAGAGAAAATGGATGACGAAGAGACTGCAGGTAGGTCTAAACAACCAATGCTCAATTTAATAAAACATTAAAATGTGGCCAACTATATGCGCAGAAATCGATGAGACCAACTCGGCTGCAGCTGAAATGCAGGTAGAGTTGGGGCCAGAGCAAGTGCAGCAGGAAATGCCACAAAACGGTAGTGGAGATGGAGCTGTAGTTAGTGCAATAGCCGCCGTGTCAACGGTCCATGTGAATAGTCGTGCGAGGCTTGAGAATATGATTGAGGAGGTGGACAACATGTTCGAGGAGGTAAGTGAGTTAATGGTTGATGTGACAGAGCTGATGCGTCGTGCCAACGAACTGAGAGAAGACCCAGGTACGGCTGCACTGCCGGAAAATCCAAATGCAACACCGCCTGCTGAGGTTGAGGAGCAGCCAGAGCAACAGGAGGAACAGGCTTCATTGCCCAATGACAGTCCGAGCCGGGCGAGCATCAGCTCAAGGCACAGCGGCAGTGACATGTCGCTGGACAGTCCCGGCAGTGAAGGTAGGTCAAAGGACATAACGAATCCGATTAAATAACACAATTACACGTTCACAAACAGACGATTCAGATGCGGAGGCCGTGCCACGTTGGATGATACCGGCGAATCGTGTTCGTTCGGCGGTAGACATGTTGGTCTCCCAGGCGCGCAATCGGGATGGAGGTATTGCAACACTGTTGCGACGTGAAAACTTTTTGCAGCGCGTGCGTAGCATGGTTTTTAGCCAGGATCGCATTCGTGGCAGAGCGAGCGATGAGGCTAACGCTGATGTGATCAATACTGTTCCAGATGAGACCCCAGAATCACCGCCAGCTCCCCTGGATGTTGACATGGAGGAGGGCGTACGTTTTGACACAAATCTGCCGGCGGAGCATTCATATTTTGGCACAAATCTAAATCGTGTGCCCGGCGTGGACTATCTGGAAGTTGGCAGCACACATCGCATGCTTATATTTATGCATCAGCATATACTTTTCCCCGGCGAGGTGTTGCCGTTTATGATTCATGGCAGCATTATCGATGAAGAGATCCAGGACAGTGGTCGCGATGGCGTCATATTTGGCGTCGGCTTTCCACTGATGCAGCCACCGGACGATAACCCACATAAGCTTTACGGTGTTACTTGCCAGATCTATGAGAAAGGGGAAAGTGGACGACAGCATGTTTTTTACAAGTCCCGTGCACTGCAACGGATCGTCATCAACTGCGACGATATACAAGGGTGAGGGCCATTGGATGATAATCCTGCGGTGAATCTTTGTTAATCTTGGAAAATCTTTTTCAGGCCGCCCCAATACATTGCACGCAACCCGACCATGAAGTGCTACAGCAAGGTTAAAATATTGCCAGAATATTTTTTGCCCGAGCCGCTCAAATGCATTGATATGGGTTCGTTAAATCGTTTTCGTGATATACCCTCGATGGAGAAAAAGTTTCGACGCTATCAACTAACCAGCACACCGTGGCCATACGAGGCATGCGAAGAGTATTCATTTGAGCATATTGTGGAGAAGGCACGCCAAAAGCTAGAAATACATAAAATTGATACCATGCCAAAGTGTCCCATACAGCTGTCATTTTGGCTGGTGCGCAATTTGCATCTCACAGAGAAAATGATGCGTTTGACATTTCTTACGGATTCGGTGAATATAAGACTGCAGATCATTGATACCACATTAAAGCAGGAGTCGCTCTTCTATTGCCGTTACTGCAACAGCAGTTTGGCCTATTGTTCGGATTTATTTGCCATGTCCAAGCATGGCGTCCAAACGCAATATTGCAATTCGGGTGAGCTGATTGTGATCATTTACTGAAAGATCGCATCAACTGATATATTCCTTTCTCTTCCAGCTGGCTATATTCACGAGACCAATACGGTCTATCGTGTCATTGCACACGCCATTGGTTATAGCGGTGAGCCATCCATCGAGTTTAGTTGGTTTCCCGGCTATCAGTGGCATATAATTATCTGCAAGTTTTGCGCACAACATGTGGGCTGGGAATTTAAGGCAGTTAAACCAAATCTGGCCCCCAAGGTATTCTTTGGCCTGGCTGGCTCCAGTGTCCGTATTGGCAAAACCAGTGAACGTACGCCCACGCATGGCAGCACATTTGTGGTACGCAATCTGCTGCGCCTCGTTTCCAGAGAACTAGAATGAGGTTGGCGACTGGTGAAACGTGTTGGCGGCTTCTGTTGTTGTCGACGGTCTGACGTTCGTCGTCGGCCATCTCAGGAGCTGGGTAATCTCTAGCTTATACAGAGCATTTCAAATTCGTTTCACACTTTCGTCTAGTACATTTAAAATGCAACCGAAATCGTCAAATAGACGGGATTGTATGTATGCAAACATAAAGATTGATTTACCAAGTTATATTAAAACTAATTCATATTTAAGATATCGGCGTGATTAATTATGTGTATTACCCTTTCTTCTTTTTAAATTAATTAATGTTGTATTTTAGTAAATACATAAATACAATCAAAACAAAAATATTTTGGAAAATGGGTTCAGTTCTTCAAAAGCGCCGCAAAAGAGGTGGACAGCTTCTGAAAAGTCACGTAAAGATTAGAAAACTACTTGCATGTGCATAATGTTAGTAAATACTTACTGCCTTGCAGAACGGACATAGGCCAAAGGACACCTCCAGAAAGGTTTTGCCATCGATCAGCGTGTCGAACCATTCCTTCAGGCAGGCAGCATGGCATTTTAGCACACAGCGCGGATTATCACATGACACAATTGGCACCTCGCCGCTATCCAAACGATAGACAAAACAAATATTACAACGCTGCTGTTCGTACTCATCCTTCTGCGGCTTTTCAAAATCAGCTGGCATAGGAAAGTAGCACAAATCGAATATGTTCAAAAGGTTCTTATGCATGTCCAGTTCAATGTCCCAGTTTCCGAGTCCATCGCTAAGCACATGGCGTAATTGGGCCACCTCTTCGGTGGGTCCTATAATCTGCACAGCCATGGAAGCATAGCTAGCAAAGGGATCGGCTATGGTTAGTTTGAGATAGACACGCTCTTTCAGTGGAAATACGCGTGTGTTATTTTTAGTGGTAATAGGATAAGGCTGTATAACATCGCACAACTCATCAATGCTGGAAAAGCTTTCGTAAAAGGGACGCAGATCCTCCAGCAGCTTCAGATAGAGATGCAATATGTCCGTAAGTGAACGCGAGCTGCTGGCCAATATATCTGCCAGTTGAACGCAGTCAGGCAGGCTGTGTTCTATGAGTCGCAACGTGGGCAGCTCCAACTCTAGGTAATGCGCTTCATGCTCGGCAAAACTACAAAAGCGAATGCGCGAGAAACTCTCATTCAGTTGAAGGCGATACTCCTGTGGTTTGTGAAGCTCTAGAATCTCGGTATAGATATTAGTTTTTTGTTGGTTCGGGCAGGCGTCCAAGGCAACTGTTTCGGGTAGAAGCTGTGCCAGATTTGCCAGTAGATCCGATAGTTGCCAATTTGTCTGGATCTGGAAATTGGCGCTGTTGTAGCTTTTGTATTCCAAGTGCTGTTGCACATGCATTTGAAAGTCGCGCAGTTCTGGAAAATGCGGTAAATAAAGTTTTAGGCGTATCCACTTATCATTTATATAAATAACCCCGTATATGCTATGGGCGCTGTTTTTTCTGCACTCAATGTACAAGCCAGGGTATTGGACTGCCAAATCCCGCTTCAAATTATTTATCTCCAAAGTCATTCGAAAAGAAATTTAAATGCAATATGTAAAGACAAGTTTGGCCAGCCTAAAAAGTATGACCGCTTTTAAGCGCTAAGACTATCGAAGTAATCGATAAGTTGCGGTGGATGGTCGATAGGCAGCTGGTAAATCGTCTTCTGCAACGATAGCAAATTAAACAAATTACCAGTTAATTTCAAATCTTAGTGTTTCTTGAGCTAATGATTCACGCAATTTTAGAAATACTGAGGTCATGCATTTGATCAGCTGTGCCGGCAATGTTTATTTAATACTTTGAACTAATCTCGGCATTTGTCAACTATCTCAAATGCCTATTAATTGTTGCGTATTGGCGTTAAGTTGCTGGTCGTAGACTTATCAGTCAAATTTTACGTTATTTACTGATTTAAGCGAAGCCAGGCGTACACCTGCAGAATACATTGTATTTTCATCATTATCATTATGAATTTTTTTTATTTTGTTTTCTTTCTTTGTAACACCTGGCCCTCGATAGCAATCTGCGTCGCGTTTGATAAACCTCACACAACTTGGTCATCAGTCCTAAACTTTTGCTATTTAACGTTCCCCCATTGAGGCAATAGTTTCATTCACTGTATTTAACTGCTGGCGATATTGTCTTGTTGCAGAAGTTTCAATTTTATCAAAATGTTTCGAGTTGTTTTGCTAACGCTAGCGTATCTGTGCGTTTTTTGTGGCGCTACCACTGTCAAGGAATGTAAGTATTAATTTAAAAATTACATCCTGAACAACTACAAAACAAAAGTTGTATTCAACACAAAAATTTTAAACTTTAAGCTTTTAATCTTTATATTTTTTTAAGCTTCGGGATGAGACATTTCAAAGTTTAATTATAATCTATATTGTTCCGGATATAAAAAACCGTTTTGTCCTGGGATAAGCTGCTTCAATACATGTGCATTTGCAAAGAACTTTTGATATTAAAATTTGATCACATTCTTAAGTACGAATTGAAAAATGTTCGCAAAATTTAAATAATCTCTAAGTATGAATATGCTTCTCAAGGTAAAGTCCCGTAGCGCCTCGACAGTCAGGTTAGTTCCTCCAAGTACTCATGTACTCGTAGTACTCATGTGCTTCTGCAAGTTTTTGTTCAATTTTGCGCCTCTACCTGATAATCGCCTATCTATACGCCTTAGGTATTTTTTTGTTGTTGATTAAAAAAAAACGTTATTCATTATTGAAAGCATTTAAATCAGGATGTATATAATTTGTATATATATATGCGTATAGCAATTAAATCAATATAGCTATCACTTAGCCGATAAGGCTTTCAAAAAAAAACCTAATCAAGGGGTGCAAAGCTTTTAAAACAACCGTAGCATACTTTTAAGAACTGCACTAAAAGCTTTTAAATTTCAGGTAAAAATAAACCGTTTCCACTAAGCGTTGCTGTCCAAGACTGCGAAGAGCCGCCGTGCGTGGTCTATAAGGGACAATTCGCTATAATGGATGTTCAGTTTTTAGGCGGTAAGTGCGTTAGGAAAAGGAAACTCGGAGTATTGATAATAAGAATCAATCCTTTAACTTTCCCGTTAACAGATAAGAACAATATTGCGCGTATCACAACAAAAGTCACCGCGAAAGTTTTTGGCATGAATTTGCCTTATGACCTGCCCGAGGAGGTATCAAATGTGTGCATCAATCTGTTGTATGGCGCCATCTGCCCCATTGACAAGGACGAGGATGTTACGTATAGATTTAATTTTTACGTGGAGCCCGCGTTCCCCGAAATTACCGCCGATGTTACCGTCACACTGAACGATGCCAATGACAATCCAATCTCCTGCTTTGTGGTCACTTGTAAAATCCGCAAAGGTCCCTCATCGCGGCACGAGGAGCTGCTTTTGGATTCGCCCGAGCCCAATACCATATCGAAGGCAAACGTTTTAAATGTAGCTGTACCCGACACGACACTTCTAGACTAACTGATTTAGCAATTGGTCGCCTGTCATATTTTTGACTAATAAACTTCGAATTCTCAACTGATAGCCCAAGTTTGTTTACTGATTCGACGTCATCGCTTATGGGCCTTCCAGTGTACCGCCTAATCAGCGCTTGCCTTAACGAGCTGCGATTCAATTGATAAGATTTGTGACGTTGCCATTTGCACTCAAATTATAAATTAATTTTAATTGCCTGGGTAGCTCACATACTAATAAAATCCGTTATGATAATCATTTATTGACCGGCAGCAGGCCTCATGAATTGGCCATATGGTCAACAGGTCTTAATTATGGTTGATAGGGTTTAGATTTTGTAGGTGCAAATCAACACTCCAAGAAATCAAGCAGTAATATTCCTTCTGCTAAACTTTTAAACAAATTTTCTATTGTTGTTCGTACTTTTATTTAATTCGCCTTCTACATTTTACAATTTATTTGGTTTAAATTTAAACATGTTTTTTAAATATCCGTTAAAAGAAGTATTATTTAATAATAAATAAAAATTGTTAATAATTTGATTTTTATTCTTTTATATATATTTATTTATTTATTTATTTTGGATACAAGAAATTTGTTATGGATATATTTATTTATTTACTAACTTTATGGTAAGGTCAATTTAAATTAGAACATGTTAAAATACCTAATTTTAAAATTAATCGAAATATTTTAAGCTGATCTGGAAAGAAGATGAAAAAACTGTCCTGCTTAAAAGGGTCTGGAGCAACTTTAAACAAAAAATATTGTCCGATTTTTTCGTTTATATTTGAAAAGATAAATATGCCGCAGCGAATTTTCAGGGATTTTAGAAATGCTTAAGCTTAAAATTAAAAAAGTATACGTGAAACGTTTACGAATGTGACATGAAGAGAAATGGAAATATATGCAAGAAGCCCCGAGCATATAGTACATACATCCTACAGCATCTGAGCCACGTAGTGGGAAATACTTATTTAATCTTTCGATGGAAGTATCAAAAAAATTATATATTTTATTTAAATTCTACATCTAAGTAATTTTTATGGAATATTCTTCAAAGATTCAAACAAATAAAAATTTGTTGTTGTCATTCTGTCTGTGGTGTTATTAAATTTTCGTACAGTGCACGGTGATTCTTATTCTTGAAATGTACCTTGATAAGGTCTTCAGTCAATCATTGTTTGGGTATTGATAGCTCCGGTACATTTCACTGCGGCCTTCGGGTTACTTTTCCAGCGGGTGGGAAACAGTTAGTTGCATGCGCGAACAGGTGTGCTAGGCCCATATACGAGTACTTAGGCCTTATCAATATGGGGTATTACGTTTGGCTTAGCGTCTCAATTAACTTGACACTAGTTACTGTAGGGTGCGTCGAACCTTTATGATCGATTGCACTTAGCCAGGCGTAAATTAAATCGTCAGTGATTACGTTTATGGGCATATGATGGGGTGTTGTAAATATAGAAGTAAATTCATGTGCTTATTAATAATGAAGACTTTTCCTTATGGCGGAAAAGTTTTTCTTGTGTATACAAGTGTTAAGAGAAAGTGTATTGGATTACATTTTTAAGCATTGGTATTTTATTTTTTAAATTATTGAAAAAAAAACTTGTATGTATCACAGTATATTATGCCAATATATAAATGAGTTGAACATGGTGTTGTTTCTTAGTTAAGGTAGTTCAGTTCGTAGACCTGAGAGCCTGCAGAGCCCTTCTTCACTTTGATATCACACACAAAACAGGTGGCTATATCGCGATCCTGATCCACCAGATTGATCTCAATTTTGACACCAATTTCGGGATATTCACCAATCGGGAACTCAAATTTATAGGTAACATCCTCCGTGGGATATAGTGGACAGTAGGCGCCATACATTAGATTCGGACAGACGGCGGCCACATCCTCTGGCAGCTCATAGGGCACCGTTATGATACCCAGCGTAGTGGCCTTTACCAGAGCCGTAGCACTCGTAATATACTTGTCCACAGCAAAATCAATCTCAAAGGTCTGAACAGTCCCTTTGATTACATCACATGGTGGCACCACACAGCCGCTAACTCGCACCTCCAACGGAAAAGGCTTGTTGCCCGAACCTGGAAAACAAAATAGAGAATTACCATAGTTAATAGGTTCTGCCTTTGGATTGTATCAAACGTTAACAACGTACAGCGTTTGACTTCTGTGGCGGGTATCTTATCGTCGTCGCCCTGGACCCCGTTTAGTAGAGAAGCCAACAGCAAAATGCTTAGGCTAATTAAAGTGTTCGGCTGCATTTTTTTATAACTTGCTTTGAGCACTTGCCAAATATATTTAGCGAATTAGTGTACGGACTTCGTTTTTATAGCCAACACATGAGTTTGATTTGAGTGATTCTTGCCAACGATTATCTTATCGATCGAACGCGTTTTTTGATTTGTTAACACCGAAATTGGCTCGGAAACTATTGAGTTTTTCTTTAAAGGAGCACCAATCATTGCTTCAATGTGCTTCGAGCATGAAAACAAGGCACAAATTAGATATACTCTTCATTAGCAGGCGATCCAAATTCGTAGTTTGTAAGTTAACAACAAATAAGAGTTACTTTCGAGAAGATTATAATATTCCTGCACACATACATTAGATATGCGATATATATTTATACCGACAAACATGCGAAAACGTATTATGTAGTAGTGCGATTTGAAAAGACTTTATTTATATGTTAGATATACTTTTGTTTAATTTAGTTTATTATACAAATAAAAAAGCTAGACTGACAAACAAACAAAAATGATCAGTGGTTCGGTTCATATTAAAAAACTAAACAAATTTTTGAATAATATTTTAAAATATCATTTAATAACATATAGATCCTTTGCAAATTGATATTTAGGCCTCTCAATGTTGATTCCAAATTGTATTTTTTTACTTTAAGTGCACTAATAATTGTATTTTTATTGATTACTGCGGCGAAAACCTCCAATCTGAAATTTATCACAAGTGCTAATAGTAGTGCGTATAAAGTCAAAATAGTATGGAATTGAGGCAAATTCATCGCTTCTATTTCCACCGCACGATAATTTAGAGCCGGCCACGCCTATCAGATCCTCAAAGTAAAATAAACCACTGCCAGTGTCCGCATTGCAGGCGCCCATGTTTTTTGGAAAATGTGCACAAATATAATGTGGATCTATGCTATCTTGACAGTTGTTATGGGACACGGATTTGGCACTTAGCATCTTTAGTTTATTTGTAAATGGCTCATTTTTGGATGAGCCACCCCAGCCGGCGAAACGAATTCTACCACCCTCTGGCGGCATCTCTAACTTCAGCCTACTGTATCGGATATGCCAGTTGGGTTCAATCGTTTTAGTAGTTCTCACTAGCGCAATGCCGTTGGTAGCTTGTGTTTGGTCGTAGTTACAATGAATAACCACTTCAAGTGGCTTGTGCCTCACTGCCTGCTTCTCATCCTCCAGATCATCTATGCCCATCACCATTTCAAAATTCCTGTCCCTTACACATTCCGCGGCCGTTAGGATCCAACGATAGTTCAGAATCGAACCACCACAAATATGGATTTTATTAATCTGTATCGATACTGCAGAATACATTATAGATTCTATAAGGGTACTTCCACCCACAATTCTCAGGGTTTTCTTCGATATTCCGACATTCCGTCGCCTGGCTTTAGCCAGCACACAGAATAAAGCCAGCAGCAAAAACAATGCGCGGTACTTTAGCATTCTCGACAATGTTTAATTTACAACTAACCCGATGAATGTGGTAGCAGATGTAAGTACTATAGAGCAAATTGGATTTGCTAAGGTCGATCAACCGTTAAATTCCTTGTTATAGCCTGTGTATTTGAAATACATACTAAACTGATGTACTTGGCGTATTGGCCCAATCTGTTCAACTGTATATAGCAAGCAGAAGGAGAACTTTTCGATTCTATAATGTGCTATACATAATTTTAAAGATCAAATATTAAAGCCTTGGCCGTCTGCGTAGTCCTTCTGTCTTTTAATCTGTCCGCCTTTCTAGAAACAACCTTATATATATATATACCATGCGCAAATCAAGCTTATTTCATGTTATCGAAAAATCTGCGAAATCAATATATAAGAACTTCCAGTAAGCATTTGTCGGCGATTATAAGACGTGTCATAATTCACTATGTAGATTCTTGACTCGGGAATATATTTAACTTTTTAGGTTTATATTGTAGTCATAGATTTGAAAAACGCAATTAATTTTTATATTAATATATTTGTAATATATCGAAATATATTTAGTTCACTTTTCATTTAAATTTCAATCTTTGAAGCTATTAAACAAAGCTTCTGTTTTGATAAGTTATAAGGTTAGATTTGTAAAAACTTTCTGTTTAGGGGTCTAAAACGCAATGTGATGATGATGATGAACTGCAACTAGTTGGGGTTAAAATGTATTGCCTACTTTTGTGCGGCACATTAAAGCTGCCAACAGCGATTCCTGCAACATACGTTTGGGGATTAAAATTAAGAAGTACGATAGTTGAGATCGATAGCTATCGATTTATATGGGCGACATTGACGGATCAGACACAAAATACTTTAAAATATATGAAAGTGGCAAATAATTATTAAAGCTCAAATTAGATTTAAGTGCTTACAATAGTTACGTTTACATGTGTATATCATATTTAAGTGTTGAAAGTTTTAAGTTTTGTAAGTTATTTAAGATTGAACATTTCAATAAATTTTCAGATAAGAAATATGTTTGTATGGATCTAAGAAAGAATTTGAGTTGCGGCAGCAAAGAACTGTGTGAGTCGAATTCTTAGCCGTCATACTTGTTGTTTCTTTATGTTCTTTGATCGATTAATCCATGGACTGAATTATGGAAAACCTACAATATATACTAGTTGCAAGCTAAATGTATCTACTAGCTAGATGTTGTTATTAATATTTTCAATGCACAGAATACAATACTAACGTAATTTAAATTACCTTCCGTGATTTTAAAAAAGTTAAAGTATATAACTTCTTCTCACTTGAAAATACTTAGAAATGCACTGCAAATAACACGACAAATTTGAGTCCAAAGTACTTTATGGGACCACAAAGCCACAGCGAAAAAAATCCTCGAACACTAGAAAATCAGACGCCCAAGCTTACTGATAAAAGTACAAAAAGAAAAAAAACTAAACTAAAAACTCAAAAGGAACCCAGAAACAGACATTTGTACTCCAACCAAAGCCATTGTCAATAAAACTTCAAAAAAAAAATTACAAGAAACCGACTAAAAGTAAGCTGAAAAATATAATTTGCCCGCAACAGAGTGAAAATTTGCCAAAGGTAAGTGCGCGAGGTGTGCTCGTAAAGTTTGTCAAATGTAAAGTACATAATTGCCAAATAACCAAACTTTTTCGGAAATTGATTGCAAAAAAAAATAATTGCTGGTGGTTCCATTCAAAGAACCGATTTGTCTTTTTAGGTTTGGATCTTGAACCTTTTTATACAAAGCTATGAACCTAGTTTTCGGTTTAAATCTTGCTTAATCACATTTTCAATTTTGTGTAAAACATTTAAGTTGATAAAATTTATATTTTTAAATTTATTAAAATTTATAAGTTCTACATTTCATTGTTCTGAGAAAATTGTAAGCCGAATGTCAAAAAAAAAAAATTTAAAATACCCACTAACCAATTGTGTTAAAAATAATGTGAACAGGGTTCTGTTCAGGATCATGTTCAGGTTCCGGTTTCATAGTGTGAAATAAGTCGCAATTCAAGCTGGAACCAATTCGATACCTAAAATATTACTCGTTATCAAATATGAGCAATAAATTTTTACTAAATATTTCTGGCAACCGTCGCAAATTTATTTTTCGCAAAAAAAAAACAAAAACGGAAAATCTTGCAATGCTGCGTTGCGGGTGGTGGGTTGACATGTGGGCAGCGCAGCATGAGATTTCCGCATATATGCTTCCGAAATCTCTACGGCTTGCCCCCGCCCCTGGCAGTGGGTCGGTCGCAGCTCCTGCTACCATCCCTGCCACCTGGACGTGCGTCCTGCGGAGATGCTCGATGTCAGCGGCGTCGTTTGTCAGATGCTGCACAGTTGTAATTGTTGTGGCATTATTTAATATGTCAAAGCAATGCCAAAATCCTATACAAAATGTCCTCAGACTGTCCTTGCCACACATGTGTGTCTCTCTGTGTGTGTGTGTGTGTGTCTGTGTGTGTGCTTATCAGCGTCAAGGCTTTTAGCTTCTTATTTTGCGAATGGAACCGCAATATTTGATTACCATCATGCATTGATTTTTGCCGCACTTATTTATATATATATATGTACATCCGTATATGTGCGATATTCTATTTTCAGTTCCATCTAATGCAATTATCTGAACCGGAAAATCTGAGCAGCGAGCTGCTCGTGTTCCCATACCTTAACGGCATACTTTCACAGCCGAGCTACTTACCCCATTTTCCATTTCCCATTTCCGTTTGCACTTTTGTGCGAGTTTATTTTTGGGTTTTCTTTTTTTTTTTTGCATATTCCCCAAAGTATTAATCGGGCTTAGCTGGGCGATGTGCCTTTTGAAATCGATAATACGACCTGGTGAGAGCTGCCAACTCGCCTTTTTTTTCGGCAGTTTCTCAACTTTTTTATGTAATTTGGATTAACGATTCATCGTTTTCAACACAGAGAATCTTTGGAGTGCATAGGTTCAAGCGAAAAAGGCAAATGAAGGGAAAAGTTTGTACATCCATCGCATTAATGTGGCCATGAAAAATGCAACTCATGCTCGCAGGGCTGTATATATATATATATATTTATATTCTTCATTCTAGTATCAACACACCTTTTGCTGTGCCCTATCCGAATCATATCTGTATTTCTGTATTGTAGTCACTTAAACTTAGTAATGGATAATATGATTAGCATTGGACTACTAACTATATCATATGGCTCCCAGAGGAAACAATAGTCAAAATTTAAACTTTTATATATAAACTCACAAAACGTGGTCTTTGATTTTGTTTTGGGAATTAAGTTTTGGATGTTACAGAAGCAGAAATATTAATATTTTATAAGAAATCACTGGTCGGCACTGGGTAATAAAGATAATTTCGAGCCTTTCCTTAGGTTCGGATAGAGAACCTGATTTACACTTCCATAAACTCAGATTTTGGTTAAGACCTTGGTTTATTCTATAATATTTTCAAAATTCGTATGCAACAATTTAAAATGATTAGATAATTACAATGGTGGGTGCCCAAGTTATTTGTATATATTTATATGCCGGGGGGCTAAGTTTTCCTTAAAAATGTTTAATTTTTAACCATTTGACA